CCTGAGCAGCAGAGTTTCACCTAGCCGCTGCCCCACTGAATGGACTCGGAGAGGTATCAGAACACCCTTGCAACCTCTTGCACCTAGCACCAAAATATAATGTCCAATCTTCCATTGTATTTCATATGTTCCCGTCCTCTTCTCTGTGCATCGGTGCCGCTGCTCTTTCTGCTGAGCCTTTATTGATACAGACAGAAAAACATTTCTCCATACCTGTGTGGCACACTGCAAAGAATGGGACAAGCTGCAGCTCAAGCATGCAATGCTGAAGGAGTGTGGTACACTGCCTGGAATAAGGTATATAGCAGCAATATGCAATGGGTCGTCACGCCAGATGATATATAGGATGCGTAGAGTTGTGTCATCATTAACCACTCCCGCAAGCTGAGATTCTAGATCTGTGCTTGAAGCAGGTTTTGTTTTTCACAGCTTTCATAAACCTTGGCGGGCTAGCAAGGAAATATAATAGATAATCAACCATCATATTTCATACTATCCAGTGCATGGTATAATATCATGGGTTGTCCCCATCCCAATAGTTGTGTCTGAGACTGCAGGCAGAAATAACGCACTCACCGAGACAACCGAGGCAAAGACGTTCCTGATAACCCACACCCTAACCGCGGACCCTAACGCAAACCCGGGGGGAATCCCCCGGACCCCCTTCCTAACCCGCGTGCAGAAGGTGCAATGCTCACTCAGGCCACTTGGTTCATTCGCCTGCGGCATCGGTTGGAGCGGTCGGAAAATTACGAGACTTGGCGCTTCTACGGTTCTCTTATTCATCAGTATATTCCAGCTTGCTCCCGATGAAACATTGCACACGGTGACTTGCAATGTGGTATGCACAATGTCCAGAGTCAGCCTGGTCAAATTCAGATGGTACTGATCGGAATCTTCAGAATCTGCTAAGGTCCATTGACGGGACACGATCTCCTTGCACACAGCAAGAGTGGACACCCGCACATTCCCAGGAATATTAAGAGCTCTAAACGCACAAGAAAATCACCATCCAACACACAGGTCACTGTCATAAGCGTCCACCGATATTTGTTTCTCCAAATTTAAAGAATAACTGTGCAGAGGGTTTATATACAAACTATGCGGTGATGCAATAGCTGATTGATATTGTTTAGAGCTCCATTCAACCCTCTCTCATTTTGCGATGCATGGTTCTTCCCGCTCCATCGTCTCAACATTTTGTCTGAATTCATCTGCATTTTTTATTTACTTTTTGCACTTGGTACAGAAGCTGAATGGATGCATGCATACGGGTCCAACAGGTAATCATATACCCCTCCTTGGACAGCTCTAATAAGGAGGCCGAAGCAGCCTCACTGAGCTCCAGCTTGTTCCAACAATCCTTCGAGGGAATCAACACTAAACACTACAAAGCTCAGATGCAACCAGCATGATTTGCTCCACTCATGCAAAGGGAACACCGATGTATGCACCACGGAAATATAAATACAACAAGTCTCATCCTTTTGTATTTTCTTCTTTCTGTGTGGCTGTAGATCGTAATCATTCATTCACCGAGACAACCGAGGCAGGGACGTTTCCAGTAACCCGCACCCTAACCGCAGACCCTAACTCAAACCCGGGGGGAATCCCCCGGACCCCCTTCCTAACCCGCGTGCAGAAGGTGCAATGCTCAGTCAGGCGTCATCAACTCGGATGGCTGTAACATGGGTTTTAGCGGTCACAAAATTACAAAACTTGGCTTGTCCATGGGTTTTATAGTCATCTGCTCTATTCCAACCAACTCTGAATATAAAAGTCCAGTAAATGGCATGACAGGAGGCATACACTTGACAAAAAATACAAAAGCTGACAGACTATTGTATTGATCGAAACCAGTAAAGTATATGCTATGGCATGGACTGATGCATGACATGAACAATATACAAAAGCAGATAAGCGATTGTATTTACTGATGCCGATGCAGCACATGCCGTGTGCTTACACAAATACAAGAAATAGTTCTGCGGGTGGCATGTGGCATGAGAGTGGAGGAGATGACATGAGGAAACAAGAGATCTTGTGAAAGTGGTATGAGAGTGGCATGAGATGGCATGAGATGGCATGGCATGGCATGGCATGGCATGAACCTTTTTGGGACGGGCATGACACAGCCGCATCCCAATTGGGGCTGGCATGACTACCGTATAAGGAAATTTCACGGCATGGCATGCTGCAGCGAAGGGTTCGCTGCAGATAGTATAATATTAGGGGGCAAATGGGTGGAGGCTGAACGAGCGGGTCTGGTGGCTGCAGTGCCTAAGTAAACAGGATCAGGAGGGTGGAAATAGGGTGTGCACACAAAGAGCGGAGCAAGGGGATGCATTTCAGCCCCAACCGTCGCCAGTCAAAGGTAAGCCATGGGCCGTCGGCACAGAAGCGCCCGCAGGTGGCCGCACGGATAGAGGGGGGCCCCGGTGGATGTTTCAATGTTGAAGGGGAGGTGCCTAAGCCCCTTTCCAGATAGTCAGAACGGCCGCTGGGGCGGTATTTTGGGCGCGCGACGGTAGGGGGGCCTACCGTCCGTTCCATATGGGTAGGCAGCTGGAGAGCTGGTATCCTCGATGGAGCGACTGTCCGTTATCAGGGTGTCCAAGGAGGTATGTGGTGAAACACAGTGTCAACAGTTTCTGATACTTTATATTATATGATCTATCAGGATTCTCTGCTGTCCATGGTCACCCCGAAAAAGGGCAATGATGGCATCCGGCGGGTTGTATTTATTCAGATCCCTGACCCACAGCTGCCCAGTAGCCCCACCAGGCTTGATGCCACCTGGTGCTTGTACACTATCAAGGACACAAGTCTGGCTCACTGGATTATGAGTGCATGCCCAAACCTCATAAAGCGCAACAAGCAGAAGAAGAAGAAGAAGAATAACAATAATGAATATCTTGTATACGAGTTTGTGTGTATTTCTCCCATGTTATTTATTATTATTTCAAGACAAATGACTTCAACATCTGGTAGCTCCTCTTGGCGATCACGATGGCAGAGCGGGAGCATGCCTTCAGTTAAAAATTCATCAGGTTTAAAGCAGCCCTCAAGGCAATCATGGCTGGGCCTAGCTCCAAACTTTTCAGGATGCTCTGCACGGCGGATATTGTCCTGGGTGCTACCAACTTTGCGAATGATGCATCGTATGTCCCCCTGACCTGTCTTCCTGCAGAAGATGGCTGATGTGCCTTTGCCAGACATCCTATTAGGCTCTTACATGACAGGAACAGGCTAGTACGATACCTGAATGGCATGCGCGCCCTCACAGCGCAGGCTTTTGTCTATCCAGATCCCTTTCAGGTTCTCCATTGCTGTGACAAGCTGCAACTGGCCGACATGTTCTGCACCATTGTCCCTGAAGCGCCTAATGGTGTAAACCCCCCTGCTTGTATGGTATTTGACACCTTTGAGCAGCTGGTGTCCTTGATTTCTGACTTCAAGATTGATCTCACTGGTTGCATGATCAAGCGGACATACTCTGGGTTTAGCCAGCATGTGCTGAAAATGGACCCAGACGAGACTTTGAATGAGTTCCTGGTACGCATCCGCGACACCATGGAGGAGTCCGATGATAGCTGGGCAAGGATGGTCAGTGATGTGGCTAGACCACTCTGGTTTCTGCAGCCAAAGATTGCGGAGGTCAAGGACAAAGGGGAGATCCGCTGCTTGTTTGTGGGAGAGAAGTGGATGTACTGCATGTTCACAGATTATGTGAGTCCTGAAGAAGTGGACTACTGGAAGATCGATGGTTTGGCTCCGCTTTCAAAGATTGTGTGGGTGACCTTGTCCATGGCCAGGCAGGCAACACATCAGACTGATTTGA